TATATATATATATATATATATATATATATATATATATATATTATTATATATATAAATATATATATATTATATTACATATAAATATATATATATATATATATATATATATATATTATATATATGTATATATATGTATATATATATATATATATTATATATATATATATATATATATATATATATATATATGCGTGTGTGTGTGTGTGTGTGTGTGTAGAGACAGAGAGATAGATATAGATATAAATAAACACTTTATATGTGTGTATACACGTGCGTATATATATATATATTCATTCATGTTTCTGTACCTGTGTTTGTATTTTTCCTGCCATCTAAATTTTGAATCAAATCAGAATTTCTCTAAACCCGTTTTCCACCTTACAGATATGGAATCCGGAGTGACGGAGGTATTGCAGCGATGTAAGCCAAGGATCTGATAATGGAAAGGGATTCATACACCGCCTCGATGCTCAATGAAACTCAAGCTTTAGTATGGGTAGTTGTATGGGCATGGGTTGCTACCGCAGCTTCTACAGGATGCCCAAAAACTTGCGAATGTAAATGGCGGGATGGAAGAGAGATGGTTGTGTGCCAAAACGCCAACTTTATCGACATACCTCGAGGGCTGGAGTCAACAACTCAAGTGCTTGACCTTCGACACAACAACTTGCGAATTCTTCCGCGAGATTCTTTTGCTTATAGCGGCCTGTTGAACCTGCAGAAATTGTGGCTAAATTTTTGCAATATAATGTGGGTTGAAAAAGGAGCTTTTAGGAAGCTAACCCACGTGAAAGAGCTGGACTTAAGCAACAATTTCTTACGGGATGTGCCCTCTGGCGCCCTTGCCGACATCGCCAGTCTCCGTGAGCTACGACTTGCGCACAATCATCTAACTGTCCTTTCCGCCGCTGCTTTCCTGTTCTCGCTTGACCTGGTGGAACTCGACATTAGTTACAACAAGATAGAAAAAATCGAAGAAAGGGCTTTACGAGTTCTCGGAAACCTAGAGATCTTGAATGTGGCAGGTAATAGAATTACTTTTTTAAATTCAACTGAACTAAGACCCCTTCAGGTTTTGCGAGTAATTAGGGTTGATGACAACCCTTGGTACTGTGACTGCCGCCTTCGGCAACTCAGCCACTGGATGCGGGAGCAGAAACTGACAGCATCGACGCCTCCTTCGTGTTCGCACCCAAGCTGGCTCTACGGATTAGACTGGCAGACTCTTGATACCAAGCACTTCCTTTGCGCCCCGCATGCAATGGCTGTCGCCCCAAGAATCTTAGCAACAGATAGAGATAATGTTACACTTATGTGCAAAGTCGAAGCGGAAGTAGAGGTAATTATCTCCTGGTTAGCTGACGAAATCCCGATACGTAACACAAATATGACACACCGCTATAAAGTGAAACAATCAGGAGATCCTGATCGCCAGCTCTATGTGTCAAACTTCACAATACTCAGTGTCGTGAAAGAGGATCAGGGAGTATACCGTTGCCTGGCAGAAAACAGAGCAGGGACCAGTGTGTGTGATATAATATTACAAGTGTCACATGAAGTTGCTGAAGTACGCAGTGAAAATGTGGAACAAATCTTCATGAGGCGGGGTTTGCTTGGAGCAGTATCAATATTTCTCTTTTTGGTGTTCTTCCTATGTAGTGCGATGTACTGTAAAGCAAAGGATCCTAGGTTACAAGTATCTGAAGAGGACAATCTGAGGACAACAAAGTTAACCAAAAATTTACACGAGAAATTAGGGCAACATAACGTAGGTCATGATAGTAAGAGCAACACGCAAACGCATGATGCACAGTCATGGGTCATTAGTGATTCGCCCTGTGAAAAAGTTCAAACTAGTGACCTTTCTACGGAATCTAGGCAAGACCTCGCAACCCCCGACAATGGTTCTCCCAAACAGCCCTTATTCATCGGCACAACAACATCCTGTGTTGAAAAGAAAAAACAAGAGGAAACCGACATTCAAACTAACAAAGAAGATGATATGTATCCCAAAACATTCAGTGAAGAAAATGTGTTTTCAGCAGAATTCAATCGCCCTCCTTCTCATTCATCGCTAGGAAACATTAGCCATTTCCCAGATTTACTAGATCTTCCTCAGTCGCGTCTTTCCGATCTTGCGGCACCACAGCAGTACGAGCCGTTTCAACGTCCACAGGAAGATCTGTCGCTGAGTACTCACAGGCCATACTCCTCTTCCTCCAGACGATTGTGAGTGTGCGTCTAAATCATTCGAATGGCTTTAAGTGTTTAAATATACGCTCAATGTATCTATGAGCATTAAGAATGTGTAAATGATGATGGTAATAAAAAGTATAATAATGATAATAGTAATGATAATTTAGTTGATAGATATAGGAACATTAATGATAATGAAAATAATAAAAGTGATAATAATAAAACAATTAAGATAGTAATAACCAAAATGATAAGAAGAACAGTGATAATGATAATATTGATAATCATAATTCTCATAATGATGATAATCATCAACATCTTAATCATAATGACAATAATCAATATCATATTAATGATAATGATAATAATAACAAGAATGATGATAATAATCACAATAATTATGATTACTATGATAACAATAATGATAATGTTATAATAACAATAATGCTAATAATAATAATAATAACAATGATAATAATGATAATTATGACCATGATTATTATTATTATTATAATTATTATTATAATTATTGTTATTATTACTATTACTTTTGTATCTGTTGATATAGTCATTATTGTTACTGTCTTCATTTTGGATATTACTCTTGTTATTGTCATCATTATTAGTATCATTACTGTTGTTATTATCATTACTGTTATTTTTATAACCATTAATATAATCAATTTTTATCAGTATTTTAGCAATATTCTTATTCTTATTCTTATTATTACCATTACTGTTATTATTATCAATATCAGTATCATCATCATCCTCATCGTCATCATCATCATTATCATCAGCATCATTAATTATTATTATTATTATAATTATTATTATTATCATTATCATTATCATTATTATCACTATTATTATTATTATTATTATCATAAATAATGAATAATAATATTATCATTATTATAGTTCTTAATATCATTATTATTATCATTTTTTTCTTATCAGTAACATTTCATATCAATGATGATAATAGTATTGATAATAATTGCTATTAATACTATTATTATTAACATTATATTCATCATTACTATTATCATTATAGAATAATAATAATAATAATAATAATAATAATAATAATAATAATAATAATAATAATAAATAATAATAAATATAATATAATAATAATAATAATATAATAATAATAATATAATAATAATAATAATAATAAATAATAATAATAAATAATAATAATAATAATAATATAATAATAAATATATATATATAATAATAATAATAATAATGATATAATGAAATGAAATAATAACTATAATTGGAAATAGTAACAACAACAACAACAACAACAATAATAATAATAATAATAATAATAATAATAATAATAATAATAATAATAATAATAATAATAATAATAGCAATGGTAACGATAACGCTAATGATGATAATAAGAATGCTAATAATAATGCTAATGATGGTGCTACTGATAATGTAAATAATAGTGATGATAATGGTGATAATGATGATGATAATAATGATAATAATAAATAATATATAATAATAATAATAATAATATAATAATAATAATATAATAATAATAATAATAATATAATAATAAATAATAATAATAATGATAATAATAAAACCCCGGGACCATGAAATCCCGGGTTGGCGTCCGGTGGGGGTTAGTCTATTGCATGGGTAAGGGGGGCTCCTAAGCCTTGGATGGCAACCCCTCTAGTGATCGGGGCACGATAAAACTACTGTTTGGTGGTAACCTTAAAACACAGACCTCATCTAACGAGAGAATGTCAAATACTGAATTTAACCCTAACGACGTAAACGATACTTTGAGTGAAGGTGTCGCGTCCGGCAGGTGTCTTGTGGATCAGCAGGCTGACCCGGTCGTCATCCCGATACTGCTGAACGGTAGTAGAGATTAGGATGGTCGAAGGAGGACAACAAACAGTTATTTGAATGTTACATAAGGAGTGAATCAGAAAGACGAGGATACAGAAAAAGAATGCTAGATCTGTGGATAGCTCGAAACACCAACAAAGAGCTAAAAGAAGTTAGTAAGCAAACACTGGCTGATCAAGTACGCCAGATTAAGAGCAAGAAGTGGCTAGAGTCAGTGGAACAAGAGGAAATAGTGCTGAGAGTAAGAAATGATCATCAGGGCACTGACCATAATAGAGGAACAATACCTGATACCCAGGATCAACAGAGGGACCAAGGCAACACCCCTACTGAAGTGGATCAGCCAAGAGATTATTGCTCCCCAAATCAGGATACTAGAAATGATGCTTCTAGAAAAGAGAGTAAGATTACCATCACTGAGATCATGTGATAGAGGAAAGCTAAGAGCAGAGGTTAGAAATGTTAATGAAGCAGCCAAGAGCATTCAAACTTACATCACAGAACTGAATTCTTTAATGCATATAGCCGCATATGCCACCACAGAAAGAACGGGAATGGTGAAGAGAAAAGTAAAAAGGACCGAAGAACCATTCTGGATGGAAAGAAAAGAGAAGGGGCAGAACAACCTGACCCAACTGAAGCAACCACCTTTTGGAGAAAGATATGGTTTGAAGAAGTCAGTCACAATGAACGGGCTTCTGGGTTAAAAGAAGTTAAGCAGGAGATCCTTACAATAGAGGCGCAAGAGAATATCAACATCACCACAGAGGATATTAGGACTGCAGTGAGTAAGATGGCAAATTAGAAGGCAGCTGGCCCTCACCTAGTCCAGGGCTACTGGTTTAAGAAGTTGCCAGGAATACACCCTAGAGTGCAACTGCACCAGCAAGACTGTGTGCGCCAAGGAAATGTGCCAGAGTGGATGGTCAAAGGAAGAACAGTGCTCATCAGAAAGACCCAGTGAAGGGCAGCCAGGCTAACAACTCCCGTCCTATCGCCTGCCTACCCATAATGTGGGTTACTAAAAGGAATCATGGGAGAGAAGCTACACCAACACCGAGAGAGGAATGGACTGTTAGCAGATGAGCAGAAGGGTTGCAGAAAGGGATCACGAGGAAGGAAAGGTCAGTCGTTTATAGACAAGGCAATCTTAAAGAATTGCAGAAGATTGACAAATTTGTCAATGGCTTGGATAGACTACAAGAAATTATATGACATGGTACCACATTCATGGATATTGAAATGCCTGAGGATGGTTGGAGGAGCCAAGAATATGATTACCGTAATTATCAATAGCATGGAGAACTGGAGGACCGTATAAGGAAATGAAGCCTGTCAACCATCTACTGTTCTTGGACCATCTGAAATTGTATGTGAAGACCAACTAGACTCTCTCATACAAGTGGTAAGAATTATCTCACAAGACATCACAAGTGTGCGGTCCTAGAAATGAGAAGAAGACAGGTTAGCAGTAGTGGAATATACTTACCAGGCGATGAGTATATCAGAGAAGTTGAAGAGGAAGATTTTAAATACCTTGGAATCTTGGAGATCCATAAGACTCATATGTTACATTAAGAAGAGAATCTCCAGAACTACCGGAAGAGAAGGCAGAAGGAGAAAGCCCGGAATGGAGATTTGTGCGACAAACAGCAAATGTAGCTGGAGTATATTCTTGGAGATAGCTTAGGAATGGTTTTTTGAAGAAGGAGACAGAAGGTTTAATTCTAGTTGCTCAAGAACAAGCTTTAAGAACAAACTCGATCAAGCATAGTATAGATAAAACTTCAGAGACACCGCTGTGTAGATTGTGTTGAGACTACTGTAACTATACGGCATATTATCAGTGGATGCAAGAAGATTGCCCAGAGAGAGTACAGGAAACGCGGGTACACTGGGAGATGTGCAGAAAGTACGGGAGAGAGTGTACTGACAAGTGGTATGACCATCAGCCATTAGCAGTAACACGACATGGTCTGAATTATATACATTTATGATGCATTAACTTGCGTGTCTCCGCATTTTTCGTGTTTTCTATGGGGTCACATTTCATATCTACACAGATCATAATAATAGTAGTTGTAGTAGTAGTAGTAATAGTAATGATAAGGGTAATAAGGATGATAATACTACTAATAATATCAGTAATGGTAATACTGCAAGAAATAAGGACGATAATCACATTCTTGTTTTTATTATTATCATTAATTCTACTAGAATTATCATTATATAATTATTGTTGCTATCATTATATCTTTTATTATCCATTAGTTAATTAGTAGTTGTAATAGTAGTTGCACTAGTATAATTATTGTTTTTATCACTATTACTGTTATAATTACTTATATATGTATTCGTTAATCATCATTAACACCATTGATTCTATTTTTTGTTTGTTTATTACAGTAATCTCAATCATCGCAATCAATATGATTATTGTTACTGTATTTTTTATATTAATGTTATCATCATTATTGTTATTGCAATTTTTATTATTAATGTAATTATCATTATCATCATTGTTGTTATTATTTTCATTATTTTTTTAAATTTCAAATAATAGTAAGGTGTCATTCTCAAGGCAGATTTTCCTTTCCTCCCCAAAGCACCTCAGCTTCACAAACCCACAGATCCCAAAATCTTGGCCATTTCTCGGCACGACCTAAACCGGAGTTCAGCAATGGGAGTTCGAGTCTCACTACGTCTCCTTGCAGGTAAAAAAAAAAAAAAAAAAAAAAAAAAAAAAATGAAGAATACAAAGGATAAAGGAAATAGAAACATTTAACTAAACCTTTAACTTATACGATCTGAAATCATATGCATCCCCTGTATGATCCGCATTTTCTGTACTTTCTGAATAATATTCTGAGTTTTGACTATTTCTTTATTTCTTTTGTGGCACATGTAATACACATATTTGATAATAAGGCAACAAAAGCCTTTTTGCCTTATGAATGAAATATAAATATTTTAATATGATTATGTATTCGTCGTTTATTCTAACACTATTCTTATCTAAAAAAAAAATCATTTTATATAAAGTTTGATGTATGCCGTCGTTTCCCTAACTTCCGGCACTTATCTAAAAGTTTCTATTATTGGATCACAAATTGACAATCAGAAAATTAAGTAAACATATAAAAAGGAAAATAGTTTTCCAACATAACAAGAAGGTATAAAGGAAAATAAGATTAAAACAATTGCAATCTATTTTCAACTTTTAATGTACAGACATGATACACTACATTCTGTGTATAATTACAAACATATACTTAAACGTGTGTGTGTGTGTGTGTGTATATATATATATATATATATATATATATATATATATATATTATATATATAATATATATATATATATATATATATATATATATATATATATATATATATATATATATATATATATGTATA